TCCTTTTTTTTTCGATGTCATTCCATATGTAGATTCACGCACACATGTATGAATCGGGGTATATCCTCCTTTGAGGCTTCAGGCCAATTAATAGCACTGTAGGGATAGTTTTGGTGATCACTGCCGGTAAAATTTTTGTTGGACAATTAATTATAATCCCCTTTCAAAATTCTATTGGATGAGACTCGTAGTCTGGTTCCTAGACCACACATATTGTTAAAATTTCAGATTTATATACTCTTGTTATTTTAAAACTATATTATTTATTGTTGTGAATATCTGTTCCTTTAACAATTTGTAAATGTCACCTTTGTTACTATTTTTGCTCTCGTAGCTTTTTTCCCAGGGCCCCGTGGAAGACCACACTAAAATGTGAACTGGCTACCCTGATTAAAGATCAGAAATAATAATAAGAAATTTGACTAACCTTTTGTCACGTAACAAAAAGGAGGACTTCCTCCATTTTCCGAAAACATCCAAAATATTCTGGTCTCGCCGTCGTCAACATTATAGTATAGGATAGTTTCCCTCATGGTTTTGCTTTTTCGGCTATCTACTGATCAGCATAACTGTTTTGAGACACACCACGTGCTTTCCTACGGGAAAATGGTTCTTTAGAGGAGACCAGTCTTCGTGCCTCATGGAAGCCTCCCCTGTTGAAATGTCGGACTTAAATTCCTATTGAGATAAGAATTTTGTCCAGGATTGTACCCAAGATTGTAACCTTTGTTCAAGTCTGGTTTCCCCAGCGTGATGCCCGGGTTAATATAAATAGCGAATTGTGGCCTACGCATGGAAGTTGCTCCATTGGAGTGAAACTAAATAATTACACTCAATGGAGTTTCATTCCCCCTCCCCGCAGGGTTTGAATTTTGGGCTCTGTCTCCGACTGATGCAGATGAGATTGGTACACTACTTCCAGCAGCAGCAAGCCTGTCACCCTATGCCGGGTTGTCTGCAGCTATATTTAGTGTGTCGCCGGGTAAAGCAATAGCACCTCTAATATGGGCCCTTGAGCTGGACCAAGAGAGGGCGCTGTTTTCTTAGCAACGAAGGCTCATTTGGTCGGAACTGAACGTCGCTGGTTCGCGAACGATTAGGAAGTGAACACATCGAATGCATCGCTACCAACAAGACTGAACATTCGCAACCAGTGAGGCTCTTTTCAAACGATTAGGGGATGCTTCTGCTTGAGGCGGATAACTTGATGTTTAACAGTGATGAGGGCGGTGCTCATCTTTGGGAGTCTCACTCAAAGTAAGTTTTAAAAAATAATAATAGTTTGATGACTTGTATCTCTGAACCGAAAGTCTAACTACCGGCGTGAAATCAGTCTGATATCGGCGTGAAATCAGATTCCTCCTGACCCCTTCGTCAACTAACGCAAGGAAACTTCAGAACCACATTTTCGGGGAAGGGCAAATCGGGGGGGGGGGGGAATAGTACCAAAACTTTGAAGTTTTTCTTTCAATCTTTCAGGCCTTTCTTTAGTTAAGGCAACGTTTCGAGACTTTTTACCCGCCTTTTGAATGAAGGGAAACAAAGTGGACCAACATTTCGCCTTTCATTAAAATGGCTCCCTTGTTTTGGGAGGGGGTCATGTCCTTCGTTGGCCATCTCCCTGCAGTCGACCTAGTCCATTTGCACTCACAACTCAGGCTTTTTGTTACCATCCCTCCAATCCATCGTTTTGTTGTTTTTTCATTGAACCACAACATAAGATCGTTTTTGAATGATTAATGTGATCGTTTAAAGCCTCATCGTCATTTTGAAAACAATACATGACTTACATAAAATTATGCACGCTTATTTTGAGCATTTCCCCCAAATAGAAAAACTAACTCTCTGAGCACGATTGTGGACTTCTTTTGGAGGTAAAAGCACTCTTTGAAGAAGACACACATAATGAAAGGAAGTAGCTTAAATTAACAAAAGTGCTCGACAAATACAATGTAGTCGAACCTTCTGACATACGCGGTGGCCATCAGTCGACCTCGGTGGCCAGTTCTCGTTCCCTAGAGCTACGTCCAGAACGTGTGCGGAACACTGGAGTAAAAAGAATGCCGCTATAGAGACCATTGTCAGTTGCACGGATATGTGAGCAGAAGAGCTCGATTGTTGGCTTGTACTAACCCACTGAGGCTCTGTAAAAAATAACCGTGCAATTCAACCATTCCATGACAGGTATTCTAGCCTCTTTTATTTGCCTGGTGAGTTAAAACTATCTCGTTTTATCGTCTGTGTCCCTCACACGTCCTCGTGAGGGTTTCGGCGAAACCTTTAAGTAGAAATGGACTGCGGCTCGGCTGACAAGAAACGAGGGTTTCAATCTAGCAGATTGTTGAGATCCAGCACGGTAAGTTGAGATTTAGTAGATGCCTCTTCCCCATTGCCTTGGCTCATACTATTACAAGATGTACTCATCCCATGGGCTCTCTTGTTGGTACTGTCTTCTTGTTATTCTTAGCTTTCATGACTTGTGCCACTTTGTTGAATTTGTTAATTCAGCACATGGTAATACAGCACGACCACACCCCTATACCCGCTCTCCTGCTTCTTGAGTGCACCATTTTCGCTCTTATCTCAGGCTGCCCAGTTTTTTGTGCCGTTACGGAGATTTTTATTAATCTAGTACCACCGTTTTCTCCTGTCATGCAAGTTTCAACCTGACATTTCTCCTTGCACGAGGTTTAGCCCACTCAAGTTGATATAGTTCGCTCCAGCATGTCAAAAAAGATTACTTGTATGGAAAATACACTGTAGGCCCTAGGCTGTAGATTTTGATACAAAAATTTGAAGCAGTCATCGTTGCCGGGCGCACATTCCCTGTAAGCCGATGAATTATTGAAATATTTGCTGCGGATCCCACCAGCAGGTTTTGCCCATATCTACAGGTCACATCTATGAAAAAGTCGTTTCAACTCTTACAGGAAAGATTGCTCCCCAAAACGGGCGATTCACAGTAGTGCGCCTTCGAGAGTTTGCAACGCGTTGGCCAATCACAATGCGCAAAATATGTCGACCCTTTCCAAAGCCGCATTGGGTCGACAGATTTCGCACGTTTTGATTGGCCAAAGCACTGCAAACTCTTGGAGGCGTATTATTGTGAATCGCCCATATTTTAAACGCACCTCTTGAACCAGTCAGACCATACTATTAGCTCAGACCATACTATGAGCTCAGTCACCATCTATCACCCCTCTGGCCAACCTAACGTCCCCTCCATGCAGCTTCCCCGGAGCCCCACCACCCCAAATATACGGCCTCCAGTAAATTTTCTGAACTCAGTGCCATATAAATACGCAGCCACGCTTCGCTTGTTTATGGGACAGATTGCTACAGGCTGTTCGCCGAGTTATGCGTGAGGCCGGTATTAAAGGCGTAAATGATCCAGCTTGGAGCAAGGTCTGTGCCTCACATTGGTAAAAACGGGTATATAAAATGGTTTTGTAAAGGCAGAGTCCTAATTCAATGGCAAACTGCAGGCAATGAACAGTATTCAGTTTTGAAAAGTATGACCTCTATGGCTGGTCATACGTGCAGTCACTGTTTCTTAACAGCATAAAATTAATTTACCAGTTATATTTCTAGTAGGCCCCCTACACTGCAGTATGTGCGATATGGGGAACGTGGTTTAAAGGGCACGGACGCCACATAAAAGATCAGCTATACTCGCAATGCCCTTGTACCAATTGAAGCCACAGGTGGCCATTTTATGGTGCCGAATACAAGGTGATGGTGAATTGGCTCGCTTGCCATTGTACCAATTGAAGCCACAGGCGGCCATTTTATGGTGCCGAATACAAGGTGATGGTGAATTGGCTCGCTTGCCATTGTAACAACTGATGCCATGATCCGAACGGCAAGCAAAGCCTTTGTTTTACATTTGTATTTTGCGCGGTAAGATGGCCACAAGTGGCTTCAATGACCTCTGCGTTTAATTTAAGGCATTACAAATGAAGTCCGTGTGCCATGGCAGTTTTCTGCGCATGCTACATTCGCGCGGTTCACGACCTTCAGGTGCACGTGCGCCATTCCTACCAACCAACTTATCCAAGCCCGTCATCCATGTTTTGGGTGAGGGCTCGGGAGGGACGAATGGGGATTTTGTTCTCAAAATTTTTCTCTATGGCCGAGAGTTCTTTATTCTATTAGATTACAAATATAGTATGAAATATCGTGAGTTAGGAGGGCGGGAAAAATGCACTTACACACCTAACTTACACTATATTTAAAAGACGTATACAGGCCTAAGTGCTTTTGGTACAATGAAGGGAAAATAACTTTGACTTTTTTTCAAACTGACTCAAAACGCTGCGTTGGGAATTTAAAAAAAAACCACGAAAAATCGTGCTGGTTATAAAAAAAATGCTAAGATTTTTCTTTTTTTTCTAACATTACGTTTCTGAGTGGGCGGATTCGTAATCAAACTATGTCAGGCTTATCCAGCTCCAAAAAAAAAAAAGCTCCAAGAACGCACGATCCACGATAGTACCATTGGTATTCGCACATACCCCAAAAGACATTAACATTCAGATTCTTAATTCGTCAACCATGGGCGTCGTCAAGCATGCTTTGGGCACCGTCGAGTCTGGTTGAAAGCAACTGTCTGAGCTCCTTGCACTCAGTTGCCCGACGTCCTCAATAGTGTTCAAATATCGAACCTTTAATATCCCTGTCATTTTCATCCTGTCAATTTGGATCTGATTCATAGGATCATCTGCAGAATGGTAATTCAGAACTGACGGTGGAGAATGGCCACACAGCTCTCGTAATTGGGTTGAAAGACAAAGTAGGAATTCTTGCTCGCACTCTCATGATATTCGAGGTACGTACCATGTTTAAACTAAAAAAAAAATCAAATTAAGCTTGGATATTGTCATAACGCATTGAAACTTGGGCCATGTCGCGAATCCCACCCAGTCTTGTGAGAAATACCGGTGCTCCCTTCTACTTTGACCTCTTAGCCATATTGGCTCAGAACATACTACATTTGCAAAGTTCACATATTTTCTTGTAGGAGTATGGCATTAACTTGTCGCTGATTGAGTCTCGCCTGTCCAAGCGAGACAAAGGAGACTACGAATTCCTGATAGTCTGCGAAGAGAAGGCGGACAAGTTGGACACTGTCCTGGATAAGCTGAAAGAGAAGGCAAAGTATGTCCAAGTGCTTTCGCCTCCCTCAGAGAAAAAAACAAGTAAGTTACTAAGTAAGTAAGTTAGGATAATAACTATGATACCCACAAGTATGAGTGAAGGGGTCGGTCTGAGTTGAAGAAATTATGTTAAGTTGATAAAGATTACTGAAATTAATCCATGAAATTGAAGTTTTGTTTTGCTTTTTTTCCCCTGTATTTTGTGGCCTTTGTGATTTTTATGCTAATATGAATTTGCATATCCATACGCAAAAGTACCATGTAATGGTACTTTTGGTGGTTCTAACACCAACTCTCAATGTTGCATTGATTTGTGCGCAAAAAATTGTTAGATTTTCATACATCGCTATTGAAGATTTCCAAGCAAGTTTTCGTATATGTCAATAAGCGAGCGAGCATCTTTTCTCTTAAATGATTTCCAAGGGCAAGTTTGGATTCAAAACTTGATATTAAACATATGCAACTGAACCGTGTCTTCCTGGATTTGCATCACTCTGACAGCGGCCCAGCGTGCCTGGAAAACCTTCTATTTTGCAAGTGTACTTTACTGTTCACTAAACTTCAAAAAGATTTCAAACACTTTTCATACGCTGAAGAAGAGTTTAATCGTGCACAAAACCATTTTCACCTTATGAATGTGGAAACGGCAAAGCAAGATAATTAAATTGAGTACATTTCTGGAATCATCATAAATTGCGAAAAGGGTAGTTTTGTTATCCAAAAAATATCAGTGTTCAGGGTATTTTTAAGCCAATCTCCGATCTGATTCCAAAAAGAGGTGGAAAACTTACAAGTACAAAAGTGATGCATCAAGGTTTCACTCTCAGCTTTACAAAAGAGAACACAAGTTGTTATCTCTTTTACCAATTTTAAACAAATAAGAATTTACAGCCAAGATTCTGTAAGTAAGTCTATATTGAAACCATCCCAATTAAGTATCACATGTTAACTGAAAGGGCAAATTGCATAACTCCAACCATTCAGTGAGAGGAATACAAGATTACAGTTTCATTTCCCATCTATCAATAAACCTATAGACAACCTTCGTTGCAGAGGTACGAGTGTGCTATAGACGAGTAGAACCCTTTTTAGGCCCACCCAGCGTAAGTAACTGCAAATTAAAGGGAATTTGGAGAAAGCACATTAGTAGATTTGACCCGTGATTTGGTTGTTTCTGACGGCTTACCTCGCCTTCCAGTCCCGTGGTTCCCGAGAAAGATCAAGGATACGGATACGCTTGCCCGGAGCATCGTGGGATATGGAGCAGATTTCGAGGCGGACTATCCAGTGAGTTAATTATAAAACAAAAGAAAAACAAACAAACAAACAAACAACAAACTACAAGAAATGAAGATTCTTTGTAGCATAATGCCTCTACATTAAAATATGTTGAGTCGGCGTCTCGTGGTTAAGTAATTAGGATTGAATGGGGTATGCAGGTGGAAGAAACTAATCCCTGGCACTTCTTCCTTGTTCCTGCTTCACCTGAGAGGATGCTGGCCGGTTTGATTTATGCAAATTCGACAGAAAGAAGCTAACGAAGTCGTATCGTAGGTTCACTGCGCTGTAAAGCCAGTAATGCGACGGCCAAACCCCTTCCTAGCGTAAATGAGGTCCCAAAGATGCTCTTTGGACGACTCATAACAGTCAAGATACAATGCTGGTTTGGGGGACTCCAATGGAGAGCCCAAACTTGATTTCCAAGGGGTCCATGAACGGTAAGACAACAGAGCATCTTGTGTACTCTCAGGTACAAACTAACGGTTTTGCTGATTAAATCATGAGCCCAGAGCTGGAGCAAAAGAGGTCGTAATTGTCCTAGCAAAGGCAAGGGGGTCCTTTGTGGACTGGTCCCAGTCCCTATTATAAAAAATATAGGGACGGTAGCTAGCCCTGTCAATTTGGATGCTGAATATTCAAGTTTTAGTCGGGCCAACAGCAGTTAGCCTTTGACTGGAAACGCATTCAAGCAGAGAGGTGAATAAAACACAAGTACCTGTCCTTTGCTAAGCCTCTTTTGATCACGGTGTAGTATTGTATTTTTTCAATGATTATCATCAATAAATTATTTTACACCATTTTATTTCAAATCAGTGGTTATCGTTCTAAATTCTAGATAAATGAATAATTTATGGTTATTTTCGATAACGAAGAGGAAAAAAGCAAAATATGCTATCAGCTCCTGCTTGAGGATTTGTACATTGAGCGCGCATCGTTTCCTCATTTACTTACACCCGGCAGAATTCTGCCGGATTCATTACTCGCTACCAGGCCCTACGTTAGGAGGACGACTGTAAGACGTCCGGAGACTACGAACGGAACGGAACCATGCAGTCTAGTTCCTTTGCTGGAACCTGCACTTCGCTGGTTCACAAACGAGTATGACATACAAACTTTACAGCAGCGTCGCTACCAACAAAATGAGCACTGCCCGACAACATGGCTCTTTTCAACCGATGAGGGAGTGCTTCTGCTCAAGGCGGATGCGGAGTCCTTCTGCCTGGCAGAACGTATCCCCAATAAGAGCACCTAACCCCAGAGCTCATGCCGAATGCACACTCATTCGAGTTGAAGGGAAGCACCCCTTAGTGAAAGACCCATATACCATACTCCTGTCGTTTGGGACACCTCGAAATTGGATGAGTTATGGCCGATCTGCAACGCTGATTTTTGAAAGTGAAGGCTGTCAAGATAGCTTTGTATGCTATTCCTGATACACTTGTATTTGTTTACATTGTGCTCTCAAAATATGTTCGCTTTTTGTTCGATACTGCACTGCACCTTGTTTCAAAATGTTGCCAACCGCATTATTTTGAATCCATGTGGACTATAGAGGACTATAAAGGAGTTGAAAAATGGTTTTATAGAATTTCCAGGATGGAATTCTTCACCTTTGCGTAAATTATCCATACTGAGGGGTGAATTTGATTGTTTTGAGTTTAATTGGGCGCGGTGCATATCACGAAATGTTCATGTACAGTTTTGGAATGCGGTGTGGCAGTCTATGAGTTTATAATTATGTCTGTGAGCTCAACGCACAGGATGCAGAGCACGCCCTCATACGATCGACTCTTGGTATTTTATAATGAGAATAGAGCCTCAAGTTGACCCTGATGGCGCGTTACCGAAACCCTTGAACTGGACAGATAATGTGCATGAATTTTGCATTTATTTTTCATTCATTTACTTAAAAAATCGACTCCATAAACTGTCTGTGTAAAAGTTTAACTAATATATTAATTTATTGAAGCTAAAAGAAACGTTTGACGCCAAAACTGACCTCTCACTTCCGAAACTCTAAAAAATACATAACGACCAGTGCAACTCAAGGTGTTCGTACGCAACAGAAAAGTTAAGATATTATTTCCTGATAGCCGTAAGGTATAACGATTGAAATAAACAGGAGAACAAAGTTAGTTTTAGCAGAGTTTGAAGGAAATGAATTTGAAGGGATGATCTACATTGGATAAATTCTGAAGTGTTATCTAAACTTTTTTGACAAGAACTCCACCAGGTCAGCCCGACTGAATTTAGAACCCATCGACTGTAGGGAGGTAAATCTTCACGAAGTCATACGTTCTTGTTCTCATGTAAGTGCATGACGTGATAGCAAACGGTTTAACACTTAGACCCAGCAACAATAGTGCCGGCGTTGGGAGATCGTTAGACCTAATGAAATTCGTTTCTTACACATCTGCAGGTAATTTTTTCACAATATTTCTTGAACTCAAAGCTAAAATTCCGACAAAAGTGTTTCTTAGGATGGTTTAATTGGAAAACATTTTTCCAGACATTGTAGAACGTGATGGGCAGTCCCAAATAAACGCCCCATAGACGGGCTGCGCGAGGGTTCCAGAAGCTCACTGTGTGACCTACTTTCACGCTACTTTCCTACTTTTCATGTGCCCTCTGGTGTTTCGGCCGGCGTTGTGCGCGCATATTGCTGGGAAAAATAGTCGGCTTTGACTCGTCTGCCTCTCTGTGACCACCAGGCAACACCTAAAAATCTCATGATCCTCTTTTTGGACTGGAGTAATATCTCTGTCGATAACCGTTGCACATAGAAATCAGCGCCACCTGACTAAAACACACGATTTCGGGAACACTTGGTACACGGTCTGTAGTGTGATTGCTTTCGTCTGACATTAAATCAAGCTCTTCTGTTATCAGTAGCTTCAGCAAATTGATTTATTTGCAATCTATTAAATGCATTAGCCATTAACAATATTAAAGCTCTTACCTTATCTTGTAGCAAACATTGTGTTCGTTGCTTTGAAAAGTTTTCAGTGAACGTGGCCTATATTTGCAGCTATTTTGTTCACTAATCTATCTCATCAGAATAACAGGAAAATAAGCAAGTACGCAAATTTCGGACTAATGCCCACTGTGAACATAATTTTCGGTTTAGATAAATTTGGTTTAAAATTTACAGACCTGTGTGTGTGATCTTTGAAACTATTATGACACTAATTTTTGTTTGATTTCCATTGTTATGAAATTATGTAAATTCTGGTGATTTTGAAAAAGGAAGACAGCCGAATTTGTTTAGTATAGGTCTATTAACTTGTTACCCATATTGCTTCAACAGGGCTTCGCTGATCTTGCGTACCACGCCAGGCGCAAAGAATTCGCTGACATTGCTTTCAACTACAAATAGTGAGTACCTTGGAGTTAATATCACTGTCCAACATTAGATATTAACCTAATTCTTTCTCCAAACAAAAGTGAATGTTCATATGCAAATCGTTTGTCTTATTGCCTTTTCCAGTGGGACCCCGATTCCCCGCGTCACCTACACGATCAACGAGATCAAGACCTGGGGCACCGTGTTTGGCAAGGTGACCGAGCTGTTCCCCACCCACGCCTGCCGGGAATTCAACCACATGTTCCCTCTCCTGGTGGAGAACTGTGGCTACCGAGAGGACAACATTCCACAACTTGAAGATGTCTCAAACTTCCTCAAAGGTAAAGCACATGCTCACCCTCAGCATCTGTACAGAGCAGAGGGATTCATTAAAGACACTAATCTAACAGCTTTTTGACAGCCAGCAAGCAGATTGTTGCCTGGGGTGATGTTTTGTAGCAATTTCGAGTTTGCCCACGCCGTAGCAAGAATGCATTTTGAAAAAAATCAGCGAAGTGACTATATGTGTTTTGTTAGTTGATTTTTTTGGTCAAATTTCCCCTCAATGGCCAGATCGCACTGGATTCACCCTCCGCCCATCGGCTGGATTGATTTCCTCAAGGGATTTCCTTGCTGCCTTGGCGTTCCGTGTGTTCCACTGTAGCCAGTACATCAGGCACGGATCCAACCCTTGGTACACACCAGAGCCGTGAGTCTACATCGACACTAACCTTTTCGATAAAAAAGCTGCAACGTTCGAGGGGAATAGCTGTGACGTTCAACAAAACAATGGAGAAATTTTTGTTGAGGGGAATGGCACCTCTTCAATGATAAAACAATAACCACTTGAACAAATACTTATTCTCTGAAGAATACAGTTACGATACCGGCAGATATTTGAAAATGAGAAAATTAAAAAATTGACTTCCTAAACTTGTCACAGATTGATGGATAATGAGCCAGATAGGTAAATTTCAAAAGGCATGGTCATTGGAGGTTCAAGCAGGTCGGCGTATGTCCACACTGATGCACACACGCAGACCGTGGCACCGGAACGAACCTCGGGCGCACTTCATGTGGGGACTCCACTCTTGGAATACCGAACGGACTGACATTATCTCTTGTTATCACCAGTGACATTTGCCACGAGCTGATTGGACACGTGCCCATGTTTGCAGATCCCAACTTTGCCCAGTTCTCGCAGGTAAGATTTCAGGATGCGATTTCTTTTTGCGTATAATTCTCGCTTTTGTTCGTTTCCAACTCGCAAGTGAAAAAATGATTCTCGAAAACAGAAAAAAGCATTTGATTCAGAATAATTAAGTGCCCACTTTGCACATTGATAGATGGGGGCAGCGCGGCCATGTCAAAGGAACCAAGCAGAAGGTGTTTCACTTACCTTTGACAGAGGTCATAAAAATTGCAAATTTGTTGTCCGTCAAAAAATCGAATTCGCCCCCTCCGCGTTGGGTCTGAACCCGCCCTCAGAAGGTTTAAATGAGTGTGGTTGTTACTTGTGAGCAGAGGGTCCAATGTTCCAATCCAGTTGGTGTGTGAGTAAGCTAGGTTTTTTTTATTAGTGTTATGTGCATATTTCCATTTAAAAATGCAATGGTTACCACTATATGCCAGGAGATATCATGCGATTAATGGGTTTGTGTAGAAAAGTTATCACTGGCTTTAATGCTCGGGACGGTTGGAGATAAACACTTGCCTGGCAAGCCTTGTTGGTTGATACTATACTGTTTCTTGACTTGTTTCTCCTTTACTCTCAGGATATTGGTTTAGCTTCTCTTGGTGCACCTGACGAATACTTAGAAAAGCTGTCAACAGTAAGTTATCATTAGTTGACCTTTTCAAAAGTGCTCTGTAAGGAACTCCTGATGTCCTTGACTCGGGATGAACGTTTGTCGGGAAAGCATCAGGTATTAGAGTGTACCAGTTAACAAAATTATTAATAAAATAATAGTTTCTGCCAATATTGGTTATCTATAGAAATCGTTGTATGTATGCAATACTAGGGAATTAGTAAGCTTAAAAATCTTCTTGGATTATTACCAACCCCCCCCCACACGCATGGTCAGTGCTACTGGTTCATTGTGGAGTTCGGGATGTGTATTCAGAATGGTCAACGCAAAGCATACGGTGCTGGGCTGCTGTCCTCCTTCGGGGAACTGCAGGTAAGACTAAAAGAACATACACAGGTCTCTCCAGGAGAGAAATCCTGGATTGACCACATTGGTGGCTCTATAGGGCCATTTTTCTGCCGTGCTAATGTGTATCCTTCGACATTTGGTGAACAGCACATAAACAAACAAAAGTTGTTTAGTTGGTTTATACAAGTCTTAATTTCAACTAGAACGGATGTGAAAGACTACACTACAAAAACTGGGGTGTTAAATGTAACACCCACGGTTTTTCAGAAGGCTACACCAACACTTTTCACTAGTGTTGAAATTTTGGTGTTACTTGTAACACCTTCTAGTGCACTGTAACACTTATAGGTGTGCAAAGTAACATCATCAGTGTTAAAGCAACACCCTATGGTGTGGTCATCTGATAACACCCAAAAGTGTTGATTTTAACACCCGAGTTTTTACAGTGTATCAAACATATGACAGATAGGTAACAGACAGCTTGATAAACAGCACCACGGACGGACTGTAAGAGTGATGACTCTTAATGAAGTGACAACCAACATATTGCTTCCTTATTCTTTCTCATCATATCGGCCAAAAAAGATCCAAATGCAAGGAATGGGACGACAACAACCCTGTTAGGCTACAGTTTGGCATTCCTGTTTATTTTCACTACTTTTTGAACATTAACCAACCCTGTCTGCCAGTACTGTCTGACTGACAAGCCCGAACTCAAACCCTTCGACCCGGCTAAGATGGCGGTGCAAAAGTACCCCGTGGAGGGTTTCCAGCCAGTTTACTTCATAGCAGAGAGCTTTGAAGACGCCAAGAATAAAATGAGGTACTGTCATAGAGGAGGTTTCCATGAAAAAAATAAGCCTCTCGATTTGAGGCCAAGATTGGTGAATTAATTTTTAATAAGCTTCAATGAGCAATGATATCATCGAAAGACTGGAATCAATTTCAATTTCAAGAAGCCATTTTATTCCATACCCTTGTTCAGAAAATACGTCAATCATTGAGTTACATAGGAATTAAAGAAAATGGATAAACTTAGGAAAATACATTGATAATTAAATAAACTCGGTATATTGAAATTAGCAAAGTGGATGTACACAAACGTTTTTCAGATGCTAAGTGAAAAACAAGAACATTTTAATGAACTTTTGATGAGATAAAGAAAAAGTAGTCCATGTACAAATGAGAAAAGAAAAGAGCATGACGCTGTTGAATAAGCCAAGACTTGTAAAAAATAGCCTTTGAGACATAAGACCTAACAAGAACAACAACGCGAGCAACTACTAGACGAAAACAAAGGACGGATAAGAGATAAAAGACATGACAATAGCTGAAGGCAAAAGTTACGCCAATTTCACTATTTGATGATGAATAAAAGGAAATAAAGAAGGAAATTAAAAGACATAAATACCAAAGAAGGGTGAAACTGTGTAACATACTGGGATCACAAGTGAGTCGGAAGATGATTATAAAGTCACAGAGGATCACCAGTTAACAGAGAATTGTCTTCTTCACGATTTGTTCAGAACAGAACTAATTAGGCCCTTTAATAAAAGCTAATTTCATTGCCATGATGGCTCTCTTCAGGAGATGTGGATTCTTGTACAGGTAAACATTTTGGTAATTTGTTAATTTGTCTTTAATAGTTCATGTTCAAGTTCATGTCACTTCATGGATTTCCTTTTAGAGATTTTTTAATTTTGTTTTTGTAATACTTGTGCAATTGCCTTTTAGGCAGTGATAATAACTTTTCAAAACCACCATATAAAAAAATTTTCTTTTGACGTGATTGAGACTGTTTGACTTGTGATTGACTTCTGAGAGACTGTATTGAGAACTTGATTAATTTGAACCCATCACCATGGCAACACGATAGGAAAGTGTTAATTGCTCTACTTATCTTCACTGACAGACAGTATACCTCCAGCATACCACGGCCCTTCTTGCTCCGCTACGATCCCTACACCCAGTCTGTGGAGGTGTTGGAGAAGAAGACACAGCTGAAGGAGCTGGCCCAGTCTATCCGAGGTAAATCACGTTGCCCGTCTTGCTTCTCCACCCTGCATTACCTTTATGACGATCAAATAATTAATCTGTCCTCCTTGTCTACCTTGTCTCAGATCCGACTCTCCATCAAGTTCACCTTTCCTCAGCTCTCCCTACTAGGCCTACCCCTCAAACCATTGGTATTACGGATCGATGCTCAAGCAGTTGGAATAAAGTGAAACAGACCGGACTGACTCATTGCCTTAGCACCACTGAACCTCCTCCTTATACTTTCTATCACTCAATTAATCCCCATCTCTCAACTCGTCCACCAGTGTCCCTGTATGTACTTGCCTGTTTGTTTTGTACAAACTTCTACTTCTTTTGAGTTGCTCATGATGTCTGGGCACCCATTTTGTTGGCCAACTTCTCAGTGACAGATTCAGGGACTCCAGCCAAGGCTTGGTTGCCAAGCCTAGCAGTTTGGAGGAAAGCACGAGGGCAGGCATCAGTTATTGTGATCGGCCGTCTGTCTCCAGATTCACAAAGGAGGGTTTCCAATTACCCCCCCCCCCCGCCCACTGATGCCTTTATGATGCGAATCGGCCGACCCCGTCATGATGCAGTTCATGCATCTGTGCAGCCATAAACTGGCTGCACAAGCTGATAAGCCGGATCAGAGTGTCAAGCCGTGTCTAAATCGAATGACGAATTGCTCGAGTAGCACATGGGAAGTGGCCGCATGCAGCCACGGGCCATTAGCCGCACGTCGTGCCCCTATATAGCCCTAGCCATAACAGTGGGACAAAGCCTTAGTTCCTTTCTCTTATTTTATCATCAAGCCCGCGGAAACGGGGGAGGGGGCCTTCGGGTGCTGAAGCACCCCTAGGTTTTTGGATGGGGGTTCTGGTATGCAACATAGCACCCCCAACTTTGACCACGTTAAGCCACAAACATAATTAGACTCACCAATGTCAGATATCCACCAAAAACCCTAGATTTTTATGATTACAATTAGCAGTGTAACTTTTTCTTAAACAATACACTTCTCAAGAGCACAGAACGCCAGTCAAATATCTGCATATTCATGTCGGAGTCCGTTCGTTCAGAGGCCGTGTCCGAAACGGGCTTCCAGAGCTACGGCTAGGTCTAATGTCTTGGTGTCTCAACAATGTAGGCTATATTTCCTAAGGAGCAAAGTCCTAGACCTAGCTCTAGACAACAGATTCGGACGCAGCCAATTTTTGTTTGGCTATGCAGTCTTATTCCCTGCCCAAAGAAGGCTGCATTGATAAAAAGTCTTCGACGAGAATAGTTGGAATCACCGGGTCTGGTATCCAGACTACAGGTATTTGGCTTGGGCGCGCTGTGCAAGCAGCGCGCGACCAGGGCGCGCGACGTAATGGTCGCATTTTGGTGCTCTCAAATTACGGCACAGCTTGATATAAAAACCTTAGCCTAGTTGAAACACAAGCTTATATGACGTGCTGAGTGGTCTTGGACTTGAAATTTTATTTACAAGCTGAGCACCCCCTAAGAAATATGTGTTCCCGCGGGCATGTTTATCATGTTGGGCGTCGGCAGAAGTTTTTCCTTTCCATGCATCAGCAACGAACTGATGAACCACTAACAATGACAGGGGATTCATTTCGAGTTTATGCTCATTGATAGTTTTCATCCCTCTTCATCTCACTCTCTCTTTTCAAAATATCTGTCGCTCTTTTCTTTTCTCCTTAAGGTGACTTGAACATCCTGATCGGTGCTGTCGACAAAGTGTCTTGAACAGACCCGATTATGCCTGGAATTCTTCACGAAGAAACTTGCCGGACGTTTCAGATGAGTGACAGACTTTATGGGAAAATTATTGAACTGCCTGAAGGATCGATTAATTTGACTATATGACATTATTTACTGGCTAGTTGTCATAGACGTTTAAATGATATTTGCGTAGGATAACGAAATTCCGGCCCTCTTAGTTTGTGAAGTGTTGCAATGTCATAATATAAACGATAATTGTTAAAATACACTAAACACCCAAAAAAATCTGCAAGCACATTTCGTAAGTTGGTAATTTAGTAGGAGACGGGATTTCCAGATTATGCCAGCACTGTTAAACTCAAACCTTTTCTTCCGTCTTTCTTAAGGAAAAACACTAATTATCTTGAAGTTACCTCTGGTTCAAATTATCATTCCAAAATCGCACCGAACCAATAGTATTAAGAACGAATTTGCTCAATCCAAATATGACGTCACGCTCTGTTTACACGTGCACTTTTCTATGGCAGTCAGGTGGGAAAGCGCACGTGTAAACAAAACGTGACGTCATTATATTTTACGTCTATTGATTTGGGTTTTAGATTAGTATCTATGCAAGCCGCGAGCAGCACTAGAAGTACAAAATACACACGCAGCTCGCTTCTTGTGTTATTCCTCACAATTATTTTAGATGATAAAGACATAAAATGATCATAATCAGGTCGGCAAGCATAAGACCCTAATTATTTATGGGACAATTCATGTATTTGGTAAACACGTGCACAAAAATAATCATGGGCCGATAAGCACAACTGGGAAACTTTGGATAGAACGATACAACAGTATCGATAAGAGAAGATAAGGATGAGGCGATAGGCTGTAAACATATGTTTCTATAAGTGGCTCTAGCGTCATTTTGCCACCCAGCTATAGTTTTGTTGGTCATAATGTTTCTGTCACAGAATTAGATGAAAATCGTATATTTACATCATCCACATCATAATTTCTATGTGTCGATCCGCGTTTGCCAAGGCATCCCAGAACGGCAAGGCGTCTGGCGGATTGTGGGATTCTAAAAGTCAATTTTCCTAACTAGCACACATGAACAAATCTTGTATCGAGTTTAGCTCACGAGACGTCTGAATCTGAACCGTTTCTGAGTCATTCCAAACGACCGCAGTCTCCGATTTTCTAACGTCCTGTACAGGTAATCGTTCCTAATAACAATTTCATGCATCAAACTTTCAGTGCACTTTATCAAAATCTCGACAATAATTTGATCCGATGCGACCCTGGTTTTTCCGTTTGTCGTGTAGTATTAGATTCAGATTTGTATTTTAAGCGTGTTTAAATTGGTCATATCCATGATGCACGCTACACTATCAGTATCCTTGTAAGTACTGTATACATATACCACATCGTTTAAACGGATTTTTGTCTTCATTATAACTTTGATACCATTTTTTGTAAATAGGACTTTTTATGGTTAAAAACGATATCTTATCGTGGTTAACTTTTACTTTTTAAACTAACCTTTGGGACATTTTAATGTTGGTCATTGAACTGATACGCTAAACAAAGTAGGAAAATTTGGGGGTGGAACTTTGAAGAAAGTATCCCCTTACATATGTATTTAATGATTGAAGGTCTTCTATTTTTATGAGGGATAAAGTTGTAATGAGGCGGTTTTGTTGATCGAGCACTTACATAAAACGTGGTCAGCGCCCACGCTTTTGAGTGTTCTGAACCCAGAATTTTTAATGTTAAACCAAGCACTCTAAATATCAGATCCAACAGTTGAAGAGTCAGTTCAACATTTTAAGTGTTACTTCAATAGTTTTCCCTAATATCGTTGAATCAGCATTTAAAACGTTTAATACGAGCGTTTCACACTACTGCGCCTCGAAGTTTGCAACGCGTTCGCCCATCACAGTGCCAAATCTGTCAACCCAATGAACGTTTAGGGAAGGGTCCACAGATTTCGAGCGTTTCGATTGGCCAACACGTTGCAAACTCTAAGAGGCGCACTATTGTGAATCACCCGTATTAATAGTTAAATACTGTATTTAAAATATAAAATATTGGATTTAATATGCATGTACAGCGTGATGGGATTTAACACTTTCAAAGACTTTTTACTGACCACAACTCAACAAGTGTTGGATTTAGCACCTTGGTTTTTAGCGTGGGATGGAAGTCCGAGGCGGATCGAACTGAGGGCTTTTTTAATTGAAATCTTTTGTTTTAATAAAGGAATAAAAGTGTAAAGGGCGGTATTAGAAGACTAATTTTACAAGCCCGCAACGGGCCCAAACGGAACAGCTGTTGTACTAGAAAATAGACGTAGTCAAATTTGCTTCCCAAAGTCTAGATCAATATTTATTAAAGGTAGCCAAACATTCGACCGTTCACGTTGGCTTTTACAAGCTAATAATTGTTTTACACTTCATAAGGCTGGTACGTGGGAAGCCGTGTTGTTGAAAATAAAATGTGCCGTACAGATTGAACGGAAAGCTGAACTCCGAATCGATTCTGCGGCGCTGCACTGCTCAGTCTTTCAATCCCAAATGGGCTGGTTCGCTCTCGTAGTGACCTCAGCACTACGGTTCCACTAAAATCTAGACTCGAAATCTGTCAGGCCCGTTTGAGTATCACTCTGATGCATGGCAATACTAGCTGTTTGTGAAGTGTTGTAATGTCGCCGGTTTTTGTGAGCACCGTACTGAAAACGATGAGGCGAGACACGCCCCCTCCTGTGGAGAGATCCCTGTATTGAGAGAATATGATCCAGGTGCTCGACCACTAGAGGTAATTAAATAAAACGCAGGATAACGGTCACTTTTTACGCAACTGGTAATGGAGGGGGGCTGGACGCAGCGGTCAAGTACACAACCAACACAAATAGCCTATCTCTCACAATTGATTTCACTGTCGGCGTATTTAACTGCTTCCTGTGTCTTTCTTTTTTGTACACACCATTATGTAAATTGATTCCGATTGAGTTGAACAGCATCTCCACATGTGTGCTTTGCTTTTATCTGTGCATTTGTTGCATAAGCCAGGTGATTCCATCTTTAACGGGTGCACCGCTCGTCCCATATATATTGTCATGTAGGCCTATCAAAGGCAGCGTTCATTTGCTGGTTCCAGAGTCAGCTGCTGCCGACAGCTTCTGCTATTTACCCGACCTGCCTGCTGCGGTGGAACGCTCGATCGTCGCGGGGTTTCTTTGGACCGAAGTCGAAACGGCGCACACGGCCAAAAGTTAGTCATCTCGAGCACGGACAGCAAGGACCGCAGTCGCTGACGTGGTCATAGCGAAGAAGTGTCTTCGTGTCGACCAACGGTGCGCACCATCATCTGAGAGGTATTAAGATAGGTGAGATCTACACAGGATTCCAACTGATAATTGATGTTAATAACTAATGTTCATATTGATAATTCTTTCCTGCTCTTCCGTTTGATCTGTGTTTTGACACTGCATAGAAGTATCGAGATGTCCGAGTTTCCAGACGACAGCTGCTGTGTTACCCACCCAGTTGCCGATGGTTCTGACGAAGTTGGTAGGTACTCTACTGTCCGTAAAGAAGCCAAGGCTTTCCAAGATTTGCCACATTTTTTCCTACATGGCGAGTCCCCCAAAATGCGACCCCAAAGTTGCATTTTTTTTCTCGACAATCATTGTCAGGTATCTTTGTTTTGGGTTACCAAATTTAAATCTGATGATTTGAGGACGATCTGCTGCTTTAGGTAACCCTGTAATTCCCAACCAGGGCAAAGAACCATATCGTTTGGACTAACCGATCTTTGCACCGACCACACCGACTGTTCTCCTGACCACACGTTGGCTGATTGAAAACTTGATAACAGGTTTTCAGGAGTTTTCCTTTTGATCTGTACCCTGTACTGGTAGATTTGTAGCTTTGAAAAAAACTCAAGTAATTCAGAGGGAGAATGAGAAAATAGCCCCCAAACCCGGAAACCCAATAAAAACCTACAGACAGAAAAAAAGCGCGTTACCGTGCGTATTTTCATTCAGCTTATGATATTTTTCCTCCGGTTCGTTTCGAAAGAATTTCCAAGAAACTTTGCCGAGCTAGACTACTCCTTGACCAGGGAAGTGTACGACGTCATCCAGCCCAATGTGAAGGTGTGTAAAGAACCTTGTTTGACAGTTCGACTTTAATTTTTGGCCTGTCAATCGTAAATGGTAGTGATAAAATATGTTTGAATTAGGACCTGTAGCTCATTGCCTCCAAAGCATACAAGTGTTTTCATACTATTCGCCTACATTCGCTGAACTTTGTACCTACCACCATTTCTGTGACATCTTCCAGTCATGCACGGTTAATAATGTATACAATTAACTCATTAACACTCTCGATCATCACACTGTTAATGCACAAAAGAAACCAACATGATCTTACCTATGTACGTGGTTACATTTGTCGGTTCAAAGGTCTGTGCTCTCAATATTTCATTTGTTCCCTTTATATTCAATAAAACACGCTCAGGGTTTCAAGGCTGTAGTACAGTGCGTAGAAAATCTCCGTCTCATTATTCGAATAAAGGGAACAGATACGACCGCTTAAATATCTGCCATTTCTAATTCAGTTAGGTTTTCATGAACACTTTTGCCTGGGTATTTACCATGTTGCTCCGAATGTCGATGTGTAACGCACGCTGTCGTTGCGCACTTTGGATGTTTTGGGAGTTGTAACAATACATTAATTTTTTAATGATTTTTTAATGATATAGTCTGTCATTTTGGCGTACCGAACTGCAACGCAAAAAGAACTTTAAAACAAAGCAAGATATGTCGCTCTGTAAAAGTACTCATCAATAATTTAATTTGATTTCTTTTCGGCATGTCTAAGTTTTACCGGTTGAAGTTGACTCTTACAAATTCGTCATGCACTATTTTGTTATCAGAGAATCTTCTCTGGTTTTTTTTCTCTCCAGGGCTTTGACGACGCCAAATATCGAAGCTTCCGACGGAAATGCCAACTCGTGACGAAAACCTACAAGCTGTGAGTTCATTTTGTTCTGGCTGAGGTTTGCATCTGCGACATTTATAGGCGGAGCATGAAGCGGATTACTGCGTGATTTTCGAAGTCAATAAAATGCGCGAACTGCTCTGTCCTGTTTTTATGAGCACACGGTTATGGGTCATTCTATAAATTAGGGGTCTGATTTTTTTCGTGTCCCTGTCACATCTGATATTTGATTTAAATAAGTTCAGAACAAATTATCTGATTTTCAAGAGTGACGAATTAATGCAAATTTCCTGCCAAACAACTTGACATAGTTTGAAATCAATTTCACTGATATGGTCATGTCAAATTACACAGGTCCGGTGTAACGGAACACAAAAATGTCACACTTTTGGACCCCCAATTTATAGAAAAACCTTTCTTCACAGCCTCCCAAGGAACGTCAATTTTGCATTGCTCATTCTGGCATTCTTATGTGCATTCCCTATGCTCTGACATTAGGCTGAAAACAAAATTCTAAACTGATGGCAGACTCGACTGATTTTAAAGGCCACGCCATACGTCATTGTCTTCGATAATAAAGCACATTAGGAAGTGAAGACGTAACCATAAAATTACAGTAAATATTAATATTTATGAAGTAGAGATTTCCTTTTTTTGGATACTTATATCGACTGCCATCGACTCCTACGCCTGAAAGAACTTGAATGTATGTATGAAGCATCTCCTTCCGCGAGTACATAAAAAATGTAATCTTCTTTCTGCATATTTTTAATTCAGTACCATCTGGGACCCTTGTACGTGAACAAGCACAGCGATCAATATTAATATTATACCATTTCAAGGCAACATATACAAACATTATTGAAATAACCTTCTACCTTTTGTCTTCATTTGATGATTAAACATTGACAATTGATTTTATTGTAAGGTAATCTGCATTGTTTGTGTAAATATGAAATGCACCGGGGTTTCGCATTCCCTTTAGCTCTCATTAGCAAACAGTGGACATATTGCGGTTACAAAACGAGAACCAAATGCTCAGTTCTTGAACGTCATTTTTATAGGCCTCTCTGTCCCTCCTTGTTTCGAATACAACAGGATTGTGTTGGTACAGGTTTATTTGTAATTGGTTTGGATAAGTGGAGTCAGGTAATGTAAGGTTGGGCTGAGATGCAGTTGCAACATAATATATTTGAGCTACACAGCCTTTTGCACACGATGCATCTGCTCTAAATTCGGTCTCAAGGAATGATTTTTTTGGTACGACATATGATTATGAAGTCGCCCTGATTTGCAGAGTAACTCGAGTCACTTGACTTGGACTCAAGACGCTATTTTTGTGACTCGTGACTTGACTTGCAATTACCAGCTCATGAATTGTAACTTGACTTGGACTTGCAAAAAATGACCCGTGACTTGGCTTGGACTTGCAAATAATGACTTGTTACCGCCGCTGCAGATTTGATGGTTTTCTTTAACTTGGCGTATAGCTTTTGTTTTTGTTTTTGTTTTTTGATCGGACCGCGGTGAGTAAGCCGTATCTGAGGAAATGCCGGTTTCGGGCACGACCTAAGAATCACAGATTCCGGATAGAAAAAAGCCCCCGAGAAATACATGGCATCAGAGCAAACAGTTTATACAGTGTTTCCGTAAAGTTTTGATGGCTTATGTTTGTACCGAGGATCGCTCCAAACATCGACTTCTGCTGTGTGTAGTTCTATTAGCTGCAATTGACATAAAAGCGACAAAAGTTGGGCAGTTGCTTCAAACGTCAATTTTCTGTTGAACGTAATGCGGTTTTTTCCAACATGGTGCACCAGGAAACGAGACACGAAAGATTTTTTTCTGTGATCAAATGTATTGCAGGTGATAATTATAAAAAGGGCAGGTTTGATTATTTTGTTTGATACATCCGCTGCTCCTCCTTTCAAAGAAATTTCACAACCTCCGCTGATTTTGTCAGAGATTTAGTCCAAAATGCAGGTTGGCTATAAATATGAGGCTGAATACCAATTCAGAAAAATAATTCAAAGAGCAACCTTGGACATTCCTGTCTTTCGCATTACACACGATTTAGAATAAACACTTTGGCCCATATAATTTCCAATATCTCCAAGGTATAGGTTGGGGATCTATAAAGACTCGCTAGTGGAGATTATAATCGTGCTGTTGCATGAAACTGACCATTTTGTTGTGGAGTTTGTTTAAAAAGGTTTGTGAATCCATCATCAGAAACATGACATGTGGGGCGGGTCAGTCACCAAAACGGGTTTTGGAAAACCCAAGAGGAAAATGTTACAGTGGATTTGATGCCGAAACGAAAACAACTGCAGCAGGTGCACGCGCATTTTCAAATGATACCACTACAGTTTGGAATATGGTAATGCCAAAATTAAATTACACACGGTAGATATGTGGCGTGTGAAGCCGTGCCGCTCTCCTGCTGTTGATAGCCACGAGACCTGTCAAACTTCCGTCAGAAAGTTAGCAAGTGCTTTAAACGTCGACTCTCAGCCGTGTCTAATTAAAACCTTGCACCGTTATGGACACGGCAGAAGTTCGACGTTTTAAGCGGGTCAGAGGCATAACTCTGGATCGCCATAATCAAATGATATAAAAGTAAGAAAGTATCCTCAAGTTAACACTTTCTTCTTTAGAGCCTGTGAAGGAACCATCAGTTAACTTCTAGGTTTAAAATGAACAGTTTTTGCATGCACCTTTTTATGCGGGGCAGGGCACTCTCTAGATTTGAGTTGGAATTCCGTGAAATGACATCAGTTGGAGAATGGTAGCATCTAAAATGCAAAATTCATTGATTTGGGTACATTTCAGCGGCACACCCATTCCATCGATGATCTACCCGGCGAGCCAACTGGAGACATGGGCCCGAACGTACAACAGACTGATGCTTCTCTACCCCATGCACGCTTGTACTAAATTCAACAACTTGTTGGCACCCTTTTTGGAAGCGTGCGACATATCCGCCCACCGAATTCCAGACCTGGAGAAAGTGTCTAATTACTTGAGAAGTAACTATGCAGATTCATTTATTACTTAGAAATGTTTAAACATCTGTACTCGAATTTGTCATTTTGATTTTCTCATTTTTTTGCGCTCGTTAGAACTGGTCGAAAAGGCTGGTTCTCGATAAAATCATCGGCAACTCTTTGTGACTGTGAAAAATAAAATGGAAAGTCGCTTTGCCTTAATTTGGCCGGCTCAAAAAGTTGGGAATTTGTTTCTTTTTTTTGTTTGTATTTTTACCATTTGGAAATTCCAAACTTTTGCATGTTGTTTAAATTAAGCTAAATATAGTTTGAGTAGACTAAAGCAATTCTGCCATGAGTCGAGTTATTTGTTGCTTTTACTTAATTTTTTTTCAAAGCAACATAAAATTCATTCATTAGTTTCACTGATTGTTTAAATCGGCAGGAAAAACTGGTTTCCGACTTCGCCCCGTTTCTACTTTCATGACACCGCGTGACTTCCTGGCTGCTCTCGCATTTCGCGTGTTTTGCTCTTCACAGTATGTGCGTCATGGTGACGGGGCCTTCTTCACAAATGAGCCGTAAGTATAACAAAATCTAATATTCCCTTGTAGCTGGAAATATCAAGTGACGCGATCGCGGTCACAGCATTTTACAACGTGTATGTCGATCTACTTGGGCTAAGTCAGATCAAATAATCCACTATTTAAACACTTGGGTGTAAAGGCAAACTTTCGGTCAACCAAGCCTCTCGAGAAGCAACGTTTTTTTCATTTTTTGTACATTACAAATTATCATCATTACAACAAATAAGGAATAGTTAGTGCATGTAACTAGAAGCAGAATTATTCGTTTCTTTCCGGGAGATTCAGCCTTAATAAGGCAACTGGGTTACAAAGAAACTGAGTTGTTGTTGTTGTTGATGTTGATGTTCTGTTGATGATAATAGCGAAAAGGAGCTACCGTGCTCCTGAAGTTGTTGCTGTTAGACGCCGTCGTAGTTGTGTACATGTATTTTAACTGCATGTTTATTTCTCGTTTTCCGCCTCGAGCAGAAGCACCCCCTCATCAGTTAAAAAGAGCCATGTTGGTCGGGAGTGTTCATTTTGTTGGAAGCAATGCGACCATAACGCGAGCATTTCATAAACAGCGAAATATACAGTTCCGACCAGAGGAGTCTGCGTTTCTTAGAAAAAAATTGCGCCCTCTATTGGTCCTGCTCGGGGCTGATAATGACTGTTTTGCTGCTATTTTGGTGTCGTCCTCCTTGTTATTCAGAAGGGACTTCGCCTTGATCTTCTTTTTTCCTCGTAGGGATGTTATTCATGAGATCCTCGGACACGCCGTGCTTCTGTGCGACGCTGAGTTCGCCCAGTTTTCACAGGCAAGTCCGAACTGCAAGGGATAGCTATGACGTGGGAAAAATCGATCACTTCATTTTTCACTCCAGGCTGAAGAATCACATTAAAGTTACGTCTCGAAAAACGATATCAATATGCACATAATCATTGCGAATGCCAAAACTTTCATTGCCCGTAACTACCAGAGCTTTCTGCAGACATTTTAATACTTTAGATCGCCATGAATTGTGGAAATTAAAAGCGGGAAAGAGAAATTATCATCATCAACATTGCCCACTTCAGGTTAATTTGTGGTATTTGGTCATATTTCTTCGATGTCATTGTATATGTTTGATCATGGTTTCAGTAAATACTTTTTCATGGGTTTTTACACAGAGACATTGTCAATTGGTCGATTGTTGCGAGAGAAGTATTGAAATGAAGCCCACGTGACACGATACGCTGTGGGTACCGGTATCTCTGACTTTTTTCAGGGAGATTTGATGCTAATTGGGTTGAAAAAGCCTCTTTGTTTATTCAGTTTGCTGCTTTGTTTGTTAACTCCGTGTGTAATAAAAAAGACGCATACAGGTGTTTACTATTCGTGCCATATGGGGTTTATTCTATACCTTGACCGGGAATCAATGGTATTTGCTTTATGAAGCCGTGCAGAATTTTTTCTCTAAATTTAGCCGTGCCATTTGCCATTCGTCAAACAAGACAAGAGCGGTTCGTAAAAACAAACGTGCACGCAGAATAGGAGCGACTTCTTGTTTGAGCGTGACTGTTTACAGTTACCACTAAGAACTCCGAGGGATGGAAGTTAACGATGTCGAGGTTTAATATTGGACAAGAGAAAGGTTAATTCGGTTCATGTTCGAACAAAGGATAACAGAAACAAAAAAATTTAATTACCGAATTATTCGTTTGTGAATTCGAACACAGACTATTGTGAAGTTCATATGTTGTTTCAGCAGCACGTCGATGGAGATTAAATCAAGGTGCTTCTTATTCAATTTCCTGTGTCTGCTTCCTTCCGCCAGGACATTGGTCTTGCCTCGCTGGGTACTCCAGACCATATTCTGGATAAAATCGCATCAGTAAGTCACACGTTCAGTAATTTCTTTTAAAAGCAACATTTCTACTGGGGCTCCTTTCTCCACAGCACCGTCACAAATAGTATGTAACAGTTCACTTTATATTGATGTAGTTCAGCTTCACCGCCAATTGTAAATGAACTAGCACTCAAGTCATCCTGTAGAACCCTTCCATGGCTCTCCAAATGTGACGTCACGGTTGCTCAAAGAGGATTCTTAGCATGGGGCAATCGTCTGATAAGCTGCTGACTAAGCGTTAACTATAACATAACCACCTTCTTGAACAGGTATACATGAGCACGGTTGAGGCAGGTTTGTGCCGGGAGGGGTCAGAGGTCAAAGCTTACGGTGCTCTGCTTCTTTCGGGCTCCAACGAACTCGAGGTAACGCCCCCCATTATACTTGCAGACAGATTGCAGTAGTTGGGGATTCACTATTTTCAAATCTCAAGTGTTTGCCGTTAGTCCACTTCGGGCTACAGCACCATCTGTTGAGGGTCCATTCAGGTTGGAATTCAACGGTTCAACTATTCAGTCCATGCTGCAAATCCGTGACAGTCCTTTCGCGGAAGCAGTTTGAAGCCAAATATTTTCCATCGGGGTCTACCAACCGACGCGCCCAAAACTTTTATTCATTACGTCATTTTGGCGTGGGAATAATTGCAGTCGTTTTAATTATATGAATTCTTGATGAAAATGACACTGACGTGAAATCTTATACCATCCACTCCAGCACGTGTTCACGGATAAAGCGGTCAAGCGCCCTCTTGAGATTGAGGCTGCAGCGTCTTTGCCGGATATTGATCTGGACAAGTACCAAGACGTGTACTACGTTTCAGAGAGCATCGAGGAAGCGGAACAGATGGCTAGGTCAGTAGACAATGCTATTGCAGCTTGAATGTGGGATACGATATCGTAATACTGGTGACAAACAGTTCAATGACAGTTGTACTCACTTCCTGTAAAAGACCATTGGCGCCCTCTAACGGTAAGTCCAGGTCAATATTCTACAGTAGAAAAAAGTCTTCATTCTTCGGGGGTGCAGAAGAAATGAATTTGGTCACAGAAAATCAGTTTTCTAATGGTTAAGCAATGCTTAATGCCATCGTTCACTGTGGATGTATCGTCCACGGAATTTGAAAAAAAAACAGTCAAGCATTCACCATGACCTATAAGGCTGTGGCTTACTGCGTTGCAACAGAGTCATTTTTCTTTAAGTCAGAAATCGATTTCTCCCAAGTCAAGACGAAAGTCAGTTCTTCCGAAGTCAATTCACAAGTCACCTTTACCAAATCAAGTTCTAAAGTCATTTTTAAAGGCCTGTCTGAGGTCACAATTGAAATGGTACTTGTGCACTTTCTGACATTCTTTGATGAAGTGCCTTGTTTTTCTGTCTATTTTTTCATCATTATATGCTGATATTTGTAATAAGACATCAGTATTACGAGGTCAGACAGAATTGCTTTTTTGTATCTTGTTTCTTGTATTTTATTTCGACAAACTTTCAGGTAATATCAACAAATCGAATTTGGTCAAGTACTAAGTCAATTTCTTCCACGTCAAACTTAAGTCAAATTATACAAGTCATTTTTGTCTGAGTCAAGTCTCAAGTTCCCCAAAATTGTGACTTGTATTAGAAGTAATTATCGCTTGTAACTGTGAATACATCACATCTTGCCAAGCCATTAATGGAAGTAGATATAAGAAGACCTATACTTCAGTTCATAGATGAAGTATGTAAGATGAGTGTAAAGCTTGGAACATTAGCACCCTTTGCTAGCTTCAGTATGCTGTGACTTTTTGAAACTTTCACTCGTTTATTTACTTATTTTTCATCATTAGAGCTTACGTGAGCTCCCTCCCCTGTAGGATGTCGGTCAAGTACAACCCAGAGAAGAACGTCATTGAACCGAAAGACAAGGGGGACTGATTAGCCAATGAAAGTGATTGCAGAGGTTGTACCATTTTTGTAAATCGAAATTTCAAAATCTTCAGAATGAATAGTCGAAGGATCAGGCTGTTATGATAAACTTTCCAATATTTAGTAATTTTTAGCTTTAGTAACTCTTGCCTATAGGAGAACAATTATAGTACACAGGATAATATTAGATCACAAATATACTCTTGATAAACTCAGTAAGTAAAAAACTGTTACCTAAATAAAGAGGTTGTAGTCAGTAGCCAACAGGGTTTTTAATCTGGGGCACGGATTGGATTTGTTTCGGAACTGATTGAATTGTTTTCACGGTAAGAAGCCTTCCTCATCCAAAGGAAGATGCTCGGCCATTTTTAAAGAAATTGAGCATTCACTTCTTTTAAAAATAGCCTTATGTCCGCAAGAGAGAGAATTTGCCCCTCTGTGTAAACGCCACTGAGAACGGAAGGATCGAGTTCTGTACTAATACATGAAAAAATTATTTCCAAATGTACTTCTACAGTTATTGAATATTAACACATCAAGTGCTAAAAAGGCAGCAGAAAAGTCATTGTGTATATAACTTGTTTCCTGTGATAAGTCCCCACCCCTTTTTACTCAAGGTCAACTAAACCAATCAACCTTGCGTGAATAGCGCCCCCTTTTGGGCAATAAATTTTTCCGGTGCTCGTCGACTAGTACAAATTTCATTGCTTTTGATTGATTTAACTTTAATCCAGTAATCAGGTGTCAGAGTACCATTCCATTTAATTCATCATAATAATTAAACGTAATCAATGACAAAAGAGAAGGATGAGTATTTAAGTTCACCTTTTAGAAAAGGTAGTCGTAAAATGTTAAAACGCCAAAATGTGTTTTGTTTTTAAGTACAGAAAAGAGTTCTTTGCTGATTATTATGGAGCTGGGGACTCATTCATTACCTTAACGTACCCACCAGTTTCCGTACACAGAGTTTAATATTGTATATTCAAGTCACATTATGTTTTCCTGAGTAGGAGTTTCCTCCTGCCATAGCAGTGTTTCATTTTCCACTATTTTGTTTCACTTTGTAGAAAAAATACCTCTGAAATTTCCAGTTAATGATTATAGTTTTCCATGATTTTGCACCGTGTTGTAAAGTAGTGTTGGCAGCAAGTAATGTTTTTCATAATTTCAAACTTCTTCACTGTTATTCTAAAGTAAATGTGGATTTAGTATGTTCTTTGTTTTTCCCCTTTCCCCCAAATGATCCCAGGCGTGCAGCAAGTATTTTGTTAATAAAACATTCTGTTGCGTTCATTCGACGCACTTCACGTTTAGATCTATCCGTCGGTTTTGTTCTCTCTTTTGGCTTTCATTATTCGTGTACCTAAGAACCAAAACGTTTTATTGCGTTACCACTTGGGTGTATTTAGGCCTAAACGACGCGGTGTGGAAATTCAGATTTTTGTTCCATTAGGGCGTGGGCGTAACTGTACGCCCCCCTCCCATGTCTGTTCTTCGTGGATTTCCCCACTTAATATCGTGAAATGATAAAAAAAATATAGCGTGCATTCTAGTTTCCCCTGTTATTTAGTTAACACGCATCTACAACTTAAACGATGTCACAGCTAAACTTAATTTGGACAAATCTCTTGTTAATCTCAGTGGAGAGTCCCCTTTCATTCAAGTGGAGAAGAGGCTGTCTTGGATAGTTCCATTTCAAATTGGAAACCTTCCGGTAGATCCGAAAACTGCATCTTAATCGAAACCGAAGGAGGTGGTGTACTAGTTTTCGAACGTCTGGGACTGCGCGTGCGCTGTCTTCAGCGGCTTGTTGCTGGGATTTGGCAAAATGGCGGCTGAACGTCTGCGGCGCAGAGCTCCCGTGCGTAGTCAGAAATGGCGGCAGTTCCACGGAAATTCAGTGAGGCTGGGCGTTATCCACCAAAATGTGAGTCCTTAAGCTGGACAGACCTAACCTCAAGTCACCAAATACTCAAAGACACGCGATTTCAGCGGAAAATGACAAAGATATTTGTGAGTTGTTGGTAGGCCTATTGGCGTGACTGGCTGGTACAGTGGTAGGCCCTAGTGGTAACTAGTACTCAGTAGTAGGCTACACAGAAAGTTATTTGCCATCATAGACTACACAGTGCCTCGGAGGCCTCGTGGTGCTTCGAATGTCTCGAACAGGTAAGGTCTGATAAATTTGTGGTGAAACTTGCGATGATGCTGTTGAACCTTTGTGAACAATGTCAGTGTCATGAAATTTGATCAGAAATTCAAACACGGTTGGTGTCTGGAAATCGGGAAAGAATTTAGGGTCACTTCAAAAGATGTCAGAAACTGCCATATAGGCCTAAACATGTAAGAACTTGTTATCACCTCTGTTTACATACCTAACTACAAGTTTGTTAGAAAATTATTTTGGTATTTTGGGCACATTAACAAGAGTTCATCTTGTACTTTAAAAAATAATGGAAAATAAAGCCAAATTAAACTTTCATTGGGTGAGTAAAATTGAGATTTTTGAATCAGAATATGGGGACTTTGATAAAATTAATTTATTGTGAAATTTTTTGAAGAAAATTTACTCCTGCAAGGCACAAGAGGTGAATTGCCTCAAAAGTGCACCATGTTAGGAGCTGCACCACCTGCATTTCTATAGAAAAATATGAGTTTGTTGGGATGCCAAAATCTTTTTTATATTTGGAATTTTGTCACGTAACCTTTTTAATATGGCCATTCTGTGGGGTGAGGCTCCATGTTTGGGCTTTGATTCTGGAAGGGGAAAATGATAAGACCCAAAACTTGCAATGCTCTCATTATTTCTCCGAACAATTTTATCAGACTTCTAAACTTTTTTTCTTGGGGGAAGGCATGTTCCTGATCTCCCAAATTGCCATGATCTTATCATTTTTCCTAAAATATTTTTTCAGTCTCTTTTTTAGGTGTATGTGGCCTTTGGCCCCTCTTCCGCCCTCCTCCCCATTCTTGTAGGAAAGAAAGATTGTACTTTGTACCCTAGCCCCCCCCCCCACAGGTGGACAGGAATAGAAAATCTAGGGAAACAATCAGTTTTACAATATGGAGGGAATCTAGTAAAACAGCTTTTTTACATAGAGCCTTAATAATTAAGTCTGGGTTGCACTATTAATTTTAAAACACTTAGCATGGAAGGGCGGTTAATCTAAGACAGTTCTCTTCCTGATGCCCTTCAACGGTGGGTTATAAATATCTAATTCTTTCTGTCAGTGCTACAATTAGGCTGTACTGTTTTCAGTGTCATGCTTCCTTTAGTCTGTTGCCAAAGGTATGGAAAAGAGGAAAATAGAAAATGTATACCTTGTTCACAATCATCTGAACTGATTCATTGTAACTTAACTATTGGTGTTATGCCAACTTAAACATGTTGATATTCACCCCCCTCTCCAGCCTTCAGGAGACAGCTACTGAACTAGATGGCACCAGAGACTGTCATAGTGCAATCAAATCCCAGAACAGCCTGCCTCATGGTAAAGGTAAGTTGAATTTTTTTTTTCTTGGAAAATCTGTCCAGTCCTACTTGGATCAGCACCAGGATTTGTCTTCCATCAACTGTAATCGGGTTAGAAATCACTGAACTGCCTTACGGGCCTCAAGCTGGACCAAGAGCTTGAGGGCGCTATTTACTTAGGCTCCTTTGGTCAGAACTGAACTTTGCTGGTTCACGAACGACTTGCATGCGCGTCGCTACCAACAAAATGAACGCTCCCGACCAACAACGCTCTTTTCAAACTGATGAGGGGGTACTTCTACTCAAGGAGGATTAAGTGCTGGAATTACCTCCTTACCCAACACCATCACTTCCCTTGCTGGGTACTGCAGGACATTCCATCTCCCAATGACATTCACTATAAAGTAAATGTCTTGTTACATCAAAAGCATCTTGGCACTGACTTAGAGTGTGTGCAATCCAAAACTTTGCAACTGTGCAAAGGCATAACAAGGCCATTGCATGGGGGCACTGGGCAAGGCTTTTTTTTGGGTCACTAGCCATTCAACCCTCAAAATATCAACAGGGAGAGGGGTTCAACACCATCCATTAATGGTGGCGCTGTTCAAAGCACATAGGTAGTGGACTACACAGGCAGTGCTCCCCACATGTCAACCTGATTTTTGATGTTTTTTGTGATGTTAGTAAAGGGCTCCATGTAAAAGTGTACCCTTGAAAAGGGGCGCTTTACGGGGAAAGGGCACTTGTAGAAAAGAATTCACGTGCGATCGAGTTGCAAAATATTCGGACGAAAAAGGGCACCTTTTGGGAAGGGGCACTTTTCACAAAGTACTACTGGTAAAGATCACACTTATGGAGAAAAGGGCACGCTTTACAAAATATCAGAGTATACCATTCCTTCCTTGGTGCATCAGTGATCCAAGTATGCTGGTTAAATCCAAGTGTACTGATCATGGTAGCATGTAGAATGTAAATTTTAATTTACATTTAATGAGGATGTTGAAGCAATGTAATTAGGCTACCCAGTTATTGAGGCTACCCAGTTATTGAGGCTTCCCTGTTATTGAGGCTGCCTAGTTGACAGACACTCATACAGGCGATTCACTATAGTGCGCCTGCAAGAGTTTGCGACGAGTTGGCCAATCACAACACACGGAATCTGTCGACCCTTTCCAAATGTGCATTGGGTCGACAGATTTCACACATTGTGATTGGCCAACGTGTTGCAAACTCTTGGAGGTGCACTTTGCAAATTCATCTGATTAGAAAGCCTGGGATTCTGAACTGAAGTCGATGTGAAGCACATGTTACATGACATGCAGACATTAACTTTCATATGCTAAGAAATTGTGTTGAGTTGCACTTGACACAACTGATTGAAGTTGACAAATTGCCGATTGAAGTTGCCGCCGTAGGCTAGCACTTCTCCATTTTATATATTGAATCGTGCAGATCCAGCCTTTTAAACAGTATTTAGGTGATCCAACAGTCGCATGTTTTTTTAATATTTATATTAATGTAGAAGGACCTTGATAGTTAAAATTTCAGGTTGGAGTTAGTTGATATTTCTTGATATCTTGAGGAATTTCGAAGTAGAGATCTGGGTCATAACAATTAATGTTTGCTAGTGCACAGTAAAAACTGCGCGGTAGGTATTCTACTTTGCTTCCTTTCCATCAATTAGGCCCCCCTCCAGTCAAGCACACGTCACGATTCGCGACAAATCTGCCGACATATCTTGGCCAAAGAGAGATATGACTCAGTACAAATCGTCCTCGTACTGACAAAGATCTGTCATAATGTTTTCTTGCTAGACGTTATTAGGCCGCCACTTTGGCGCGTTTGGGAGAGGTTGGTGTGGGGGGGGGGTTCGTTGATATCGCCTACTCGGGGCGAGACATGCAGTCCACGGCACTTGACTCTTGCTGTGGACTGGAGCTTCGTGTGAGCATGCCTTGAATCATGATGCTGGAAATTAGAAGGATGATTATCAAAGATTGGTTTCATAATCGTGCAGGCCAACCAATTATTGTTTGGTTGTGAAAGGAATACTATACTAATCTCGGTTTCAAACAAGAAGAAAATGCCTCCAATTGACAAGCCGAAATCAATGGGCAAGCAATGATTTTGAGGGTATAATTGTCTGGGTCAAATCGCTAATGACAAAATGAGCACTCCCGACCAACATGGCTCTTTTCAACCGATGAGGGGGTGCTTCTCAAGCGGATTAGCGAGGCCATACTCCGACTCAATGGTAGTGAACATTTAAATTGGCTTGACGTCAGGTGCTTTGTTTTCGATCTACCTTACCGTCTTTGAACCGCCAAATTCGGGCAAGTTCAAGCAAGGCCGTTTTGAAACCCGAACACCCCGGCGTATGAGTAGACTATTCTCAGTGGAACGCTGCTCACGTGCCGTCGTGTTAAAAACATACCTAGCCTGGTTGCCTTCACTGTGTCAGGCATCCTCGGTCGCGTTGTTTCGCAGTGAACAGAGCGAAAACCGCACTCCACGAGTCAGGATTCCCCACTTGAAGTAGGCTGAGAATCCATGCCGAGCGTCGCTCGCCTCCAAACTGTGGGCATTCCCTTGTCCCCCCTGAAGCGCAGACATCGTCCCCGGTTGAAACGTCATTAATTTTTCAAGCGTAAATGTTGAGCCTGTACCTGCTGGGTGATGAATGCAAGCAAGCGTGCATTGTACACGGATGCTCTCCTTCAACCTCGTCTGTGCTGCTACCGCATGTTCGCAGCTGGGTTGGATTTTTTTTTTCTTCAGCAATATTCTACCAGTTCCAAGCGTCAGGGTGCACCGCCATGCTGTGAGCACATCACCCCACTGGATGTACTGTTGGTAGCACTTAAGCCACTCGTATGAGGTGCTGTTGATACATTCGTGAGCTTAGTCGATCACCGCGGCGTATAGGTAAGTTGAATTGGTGGTTATTCTTGGAAGCCTTTAGGACCTTATCGGTGTGTCATACTACGATTACATCTAATGCGGTGACAGAAAAAACCGTTCCCGAGCCATCAAACGAGCAGCGAGTTTGAGGATGATAAATACATTTCGATCCTAGCCTGAAGCGACAGTTTATCGTCTTCAACCATTTTCTTTCAAACTTAATTCAACAGAAATTTATTTCCACATTTGTTATATTGTACACAAGAGCATGTGTGTAAGGCATAATCCTGAATAGCCATCGACAAAGGCTAAATGACTGATCACTCAGTGAAAACTGAATGATTTTATGCAGTCTTTAGAAGCTTTGAGTGGTCATTATTCATATTTGCAACATGCCATTCTGACTACGTTCATGTTGTCCTGGTTGTTGATAATAAAAAGTAAATAAAAACATAAAATCTTTCACTGCTTGCACTTTCAAATTCAAAATTAAACTGTTGTTTAGGATGCTCCATAAAATGTAGGAATGAAAAGAAGTTGAGTATCACGTACATTTATTGAGCAAATAATACCATGATGTTACGAGAACCACTTGTTTTGAAAGTCATGTCTGACCGACCCTTATTTTTAACTCCAGCTGAGGAAAAAAAACTTGTTTGCTATGTCGCCAACCCTGTCAAGAAAAATTATAATATGAAGAATTTAAGGGGGGAAGCAAATAATTTTTTTCAAACGCCTATTTTCGCAGACCGATAGCCTGACTCTTTATATGAGAACCATAGATTTAACTAATACGCTAATACGGTTAAAAATGCCAAGGCAGTAAAAAAAGAGTAATGAATCAGCTTTGTCATATTTAACAACTTTGTAGACTAAATACCATGCCATCAGCGATAAACGTAACATGAATCGAGCTTACAGCATGACTTGAAAATCCAACCTTTAAGAGTACTTCGAGCGATTTAATATTAAAATCATTGAACTGAGTGTTCGATGGGTTTTCCCCGATTTGAACAATACAAATAAAATACATGCAAATTTAGTATTTTAAATCCATCCGTCCAGTTAATGCGCTGTTCATGAAAGGTCTACCGGTAGTATTGTAGGTAGTCTCATTGTTCTTGTTTTTGGGAGTAAAAAATTGGATATAAACAACAATTCCCTTGAAACAGCTAAGTGTATGGTAGGCCATACAGGTACCCTTTCCAAACCTACATACGTCTTTTTGTTTGTCGTGCACTTTTGCCACGTTTGTCTGTGTGGCAGTATTGATGAAAATAGCTGTTGTAAAATTTAATTCCAATCTACTTTTACAAATTAGGACTATATGAGTTGATGAACACTAAATATTCTATAGTAAAGTGGATTTGTTTCGTGACTCATCGTCTAGTGTAGTTGTATATAACCCAAACGCCCTAATGTTATGAATAATGTCTTCAGGAATTTATGAGTCTCTTCAATCTTCACTGGTTCATGATTCTCCATCGTGCTGGATGCAAGTAGCGTCTTAGAACGAATTACTGTCGTTCCATGTGCCCAGTGGGTCAAGGGAAAACTCTCTCTCTACTGTTAATCAAAATTGCATATTTACTGCTTAAACAAGACTGTCGAATTCCTGTACATGGAAATTGCGCGTTTGAATACAGGGCTACATGAACGTGTTGAGTCTGTTCTCTTTCAGTGCTGGAGAACCGCGCACTTTTTCATGTCAACAGTACGCAGTACACCACTGGTCGGCTTGTGATCCATGCGTAACGCGCACAAAATCGGGACCACCAGCATCATCATTATCATCATGCGACAGTTGAGTTCATTCATCTAACACCGTGTTTCATCAATCAGTAACGTTGCCATGGAAGCCGCGTTGCCCGGGCAACACGTTGCTACGCATTTTTGCTACGTAATTCTGGCTGCTCTGGGTTCTGTTTGTAAGTGATTTTCATTGAAAGTAGTGTATTTCCATCGGAATATTGCTTTCTATTGTTCAGATGTTCAGACAATTTGAAAGCATCACTAGTCATTCTGATCACAATAGGCCATGTTGTGAGTGACTAGTTGGACAACGCTTACTCATCAATTACAAGAAATTGAGCACGCTGTTCGTGCATTTGTCAAGGATGGATATTTGGAATCAGTCTTGACATTGAATAATCCAATAATGGTCAGTGTTTCATTTGTGTTCTGAGCAATCTTTGTAAACATGGAAGGCTCGTCTGATTCTTTATTGGTGAAAATGTTTGTTGAGAGTCTGAAACAGGTAATTTGATCAGCAGTCAGAGAAAGTTCATTAGGAAAGGCAAGTTAAAGAACTGCGAGTCACTCTGGACGCACACCAATGGTCAATTTTCCTTTTTTGTAGTGATTCCATTGGACTTGGAGTTGTACATAAGCTCTGTTTAATGTTGTCTCCGAAGGCTGGGGAATCCTTCAATGGAGCGCATAAACTCACCTTACGTGCCAGCAAACTCAGTCGTTAACTACATTACGACTCCTCCCGCCGTTCTTACCGTGCACTTACGCCGTTGCCACTTCTAGGCTGACCGTTAATGTGATGTATTTGACGTGCAGCGCCCTGCCACAAAGTTCTAATTAATTTTCAACACTGGCTAATCCTGGGATTTTGCAACGGGTTTCAGGATTGTCACTTTGTAGAACCCGTAATCCGTCTATGTCTGCACAAATCAAGCCTGGGGCTGAGCAAAGAGTTTGCAGTAGGCTTAGTTTCAGACAGATTGTTTGAGTTTGAGAAAGAGCAGAGATAGGTCTGAAACATCTCAGATCTGCTTAGAGAGAGTGGAATCAGTCAAGGCTTCTGGAATGATCCCTGGAAATTTTACTTGCGTGACAATGCTTTGATCACCGTTGCAGACAATAGAAATAACGCTGTAGTCGAAAAATGGATTCCATGGTGTGTGTGTTTTAATGGAAAAAACGGAGGCCTACATTGTACTTATTTTCTAAGTAGTCATAGGGCAAAAATGTTCTGCTTTCCATTACATGGCAATAGATGGGCAGGAATTCATTTGTACTTTTATCTATACATTGCTTTAGTGTGCAGCTCAGTGTTAAATAATTATTGGTTAAAACCAGCAAGAGAGATTGAGTTGCATTGGTTTCAAAAAAAGCCAACAGACAAACAGGTTGGCTGTATAAACGAGTCCGTTTTACTCCTCATTCGATCAAAACTTTTCCCTAATGGACTTTATGGTTGCAAAGTCACAATAGAGCAGCGCCAGAAAAACGAAGCATTTACCTTTTTCATAGCTTAATCGTGTCCGTCCACGAAACTAGAAAGAAGTTGGTTTCTTTGAACGTTGTGAAGCACCCATGTTTCTCGTAAACCGGAGTTGCTGAAAAAGCTCATAATTGACCGTAACAGTCCTCAATCCTCTGATTTCAATATGATTTTACATACACCCAGGGGGTTAGGATTAAATTTTAGCTGAAGAAGCGTGAATTAGATTCAAGTTGTACAGGATCAGTCCCCGTGCCATGCCATGCTCCACTTTTGTTTTCTTTTCTGTTCCTGAGACGCCACTTAAATGAGAGAAATAAGAGCTCGTCAATTTCAGCTAATTTAGATTTGTTGTTTTGTCTTGTAGAACAATATGCTTAATCGATACAAGTAGCTTCACGGCAGAATGAACAATCTGTCTCAAATAATACGGGCGATTCACAATAGTGCGCTTCCAAGAGTTTGCAACGCATTGACCAAATCACAATGCGCGAAATCTGTCGACCCTTTTCAAACGCGCATTGGTTCGACAAATTTCGCGCACTGTGATTGGTCATCTCGTTACGAACTCTTGGAGGCGCACTATTGTGAATTGCACGTATTCACCTGTAATTATACATGTGTAATCTGTATCTTTACTAGCTTTCAGTCTAGTGTAAGAGGAGAAAAGTCTTGTCGCGTGGGTGTGCGTGGGAGGATGTTTCTGCTTGAGGTGGGGGATTTCAGTCGTTAAGCTTCATGTCGTTAGCCAATAGCCATCCGGATGTTGGGGCCAATCTCTTCTCATTTTGCCAAACTTCTTCCTCTCACCGCCCCGCATCTTAAGACCTGTAGCTCTGATTTGCTGCGGGAGGAGCGGTAGTCGTTAAAAACGCAGTCACTTCGAGGGTGGAGCGAGGCAAACAGCCCTCCACACACCACTTGCTAAGGCAACGTGGGAGAAGAGTGTTTTGTGGGCTGGAGAGGAGACGATTTGGCGTCACCTCTTTATCACCATGTTTCTTTTCTCGGTGCACTGGCTGACACCGTCGATAATTGGTTTCCTAAGAAAATGATGAAGGGTACGATGTGGGTGGCCTGTTCCGCCATTAACCCACGCGCCCAAATTTCGTTCTGGTGTTATAAATGGGTGTTAATTAATCATTTAATACAGGCGAGACCCGTACAAGATGTTTGCATTACGCATTGAGTGATGGACTCTTTTTCTGTTTCTTGATCGAGAGAGGAGTTGTACCGTGCGTCCGCTGGGATCAGTTCGAAGATGGTTGTCTTGATTTTTCGTGCATGGTGTGGGATGTGATGAAGGATCCGGGGGCGACGGAGTCCCCACGAGCGGCACCAAAGAAAGTGCAGTGCTAGCTGATTTCTGATTGGGCCAGATTGCAATGTGCTGTGGAAATAAACCGTCTGGTGGTATGTAACATGGCACGGAGTGGAGTGTGTCGCCAGTGGCATCCACTCGTCATGATTAATCGTTGGGAACGGTGTGCTGCAAGGGCTGACGCTGTCTTAATTAATTCGAGTGAGTTCCCCCCTTCAACATACCGACACCTTTGAGGGTATACACATTCTGTCAACATCACTGTGACGTGGGTTTGTGATTGGTAAGGTGACATTTCCCCTGTGGTTGCAGACTGGATTCATTGAACTCCAAGTACTTGTGATCACGCAAAAAAAGAAGAGTGGCTTAATAAATTTTTGTTGAAATATGAAAGGGTCACGGGCGATTCACAATAGTGCGCCACCAAGAGTTTGCAACGCGTTGGCCAATCATAACGTGCGAAATTTG